GCAACTTACCCGCCATGGAACTGTCAACACATTTATTGCCAAACTTTTTGTCTTTGTCTCTGCACAGCTTTGATCTCTAACTTACAGGCATAAGTGACTACATTTCTTCTCTTGAGAGTAGCTTGTTTTTTTTTCCCTCCAATTTTAATAAAGTTTTAGTTCATCTGTTGCATGCTGCACTTGCATTTTATTTACCACGATCATTATAGTTCTTCACTTTCCCCCATCACTGAACATCCCAATTTTGAGAGATTTTCTGTCTACTGAGCATTAATATAAAAAGCAGAAATAAGTGCACATGAAGTAATTATCTGAATATTCTGAAGACTGAAACTATTAAGTTGCTTCACTCAATAGGGGTGTTGGTGTCATCTGAAAAGACACAACTCCATATGCTTAGGTCTAAATATTACAAACAAAATAGATACATAATTTACTGAAACAAATTTAAAGAGTTTCATCATATGGGATATATATATATAATCAAAGTGAATCAAAATGGCACAAATTAGGGCTTTGGCATCTCAGAGACGCCCCAGCACAGAAGTTGCTGTGAAAGCATGGAGCCAGATTCTCAAGTTGCACCAGTTGTCACTGCTGTGTTGTAGCTAGTGCACCTGTGGTGGTACACACCAGGTGCAAATCTCACTTCCGTCTTATCAGGATAATATAAAAAAGAATCTCCTCAAAATAAGATGTATTTTAGACATTTTTTCATCCTCTTTTCTGTAGAATTTCCATTTAATTGTACAACTAATGATGACAAAATAGCCAGGTACTCCTAGCAACATTTAGTAGCAGAGATTCACAGGTTATGTCCTGAGAAGTATCAACAGGAATATTTGAATAAGATATTAATCTCATAATGTTTTAATTTCTCTGACATTCAAATGAAAGCTGGTAAATTTGAAACTCTAAAGACTTTACCTGACAAAGTAGCAGCCTTCAAAAGTCAGCTAGAATTCTAATATCCAAATCTTTCTTGCCTTACTTCTATGATATCAAGAGCTGTATAGACAATACAACTGGATTATTTTTTTTAAATCCTTTTGTACTTTGACCTGGAAGAGGAATTATTTTACTCTTCAGTTCTTGTATTGATACATATCAAAAGCTCAGTCCCAGATGATCTACAAATCAGTGTTCATTGACAACATCCTGGGCTCAATTTCTCTACACAGACAGAACAGTCAGTTGACAGATGAATGAGGAATAATCAGGGTCAAAATACATATTGAGAACATCTACCTATGTAAATACAAAGAGCCGGCAAGATACAAGGTTAGAAACTGGAAACCTCCTAAATCAAGTTCACAAATCTTATTCACCTGGACCCAGGAATTTCTTTATTTGAGATCTTGGGCAGCCTGATCCAGTGCCGGATTTAGTGGTTGGCAACCCTGCCCTGCCAGGGTTAGAATTAGATGATCTTTCAGGTTCCTCCAACCCAAGCCATTCTATGATTGATATGATTATGATTAGCTGCAAGCTGTTGGCTCTTAGGCTCATTGTAAACCATGGACTGGACGGGGACATGATTGCAGCACTCTGCCAAATAGTTACATATAACTCACATTAAAGCTGGGATAAGCTTTATCCCAGCTGGCTCACAGGAGTTTAATTTCAACGAGGAATGCCAATGTTTAATGAGTGTTGATGCATACTTATAAAGCTTCCGGAAGATGCCAGTGGGGATAGAGTCCCCACATTAAATGCTGAAAGCACAATCCCATTCTACTTCAGCTAATGGGATTTCTTGCAGCCCCAGAAGATGCTTGCATATAAATGTCCTCTGGCTGCCAGTTCATTACGAGGCCATAATTAAGTAGGATAAAGATTCAAAAATAACATTTGTTTTAGCAAGCATCAGTTTATGTTTATTTGGCAGGAAAAGAAGAGAGTGTAAGAATCTGATCCTCAGTGTTGTAAAATTCTACCATATTTTATCATTTCATTGCATTCAGCAATTAACTCAAGAATACAGAGATGCTGCAGCATAGATGGAACTTCCAGGAAGATGTAATCATATAGCGCAACTTATGTGTGTGGGTCTTTCCAAATGAAATCAGGGCTCCCGTTCCAAAGAACTTATTCACTGAATCCAGAAGAGAATATGAAAATGAAAGACACCAGACCTCAAGAAGAAAGAAAAAAAACTGTATTCAGGAAAGCATTATATGTAAAACAATCAATGCAACTGAGCTATTTCTTATTTTTTTTCTTTTCTAAGTAAAAAAAAATCTGGAGGAGATAGCTGTTCCAACATTCCAATTTGTGACAGAGAACGCAACTTCAAGGAAAGATTTGAATAAATAAAGCATATAGAAATAAATTTTGCCTATCATAGCACCCACATGTAGGTTGGAGGGTGTGGACATCTTCAGCTAGCTAAAATATCAAATTTTGTGTAAGGGCAGAGCACATCATTAGTAGTAAATATTCAGAATTTGGAATGAACAAAGACATTGTTCAAGAAGATTCCTAAATATGTGCAGTCAAACCATTGCAAGAGCAAAGTGTTACCAAGTGCATTCTGGATAAACTGAGTGCAAAAGAAAGGACACCAGAGAAGGACAATTTAGGCAGTAGAAAATGAAAGCACAAACTTAAGTTCATCAGTGTGAATGGAGCACACACACAAAAGTTGAGCAATTTCTAAGAAAAGAGAGAAAAGATGCAAATAAATAGAGAGGACACAAAAACCTTGCCATGTATGTAATTGCAAGCTGGAAGGATCTAGGCACTGGCTTTAGTTAGTTGCTAACAAGATCACTTCTGGTCATTGTGATCTTCTGTTTCCTAGGTACACACGGGGTACCTAATTCATGTCAGAATACTTTATTCTAGTGAATCAGAAGGTAGAATTATGAACACATATATTACTTAAGGCTTAATTGTAAACAAATTAATGACTTTTTTGGCTGAGAATTTCAGAAACATTTTCATTTGTCAAATGTTCAAGCTGAGGTTGAGGGTAAAGCTTCCTTTCCCTTCCAGGAAGGAGCAAAAGTACTGTGACACTGAAAACTTCATACACTCCCACCAGAATGGTTTTGCGTACAAATCCTCATATCAACAATAGCTTTGAGAATTTAAAATTCTGTATGTATTGTACCAGTACTTCATTAGTTGTAAAAGCCTAAAATGAATTACACAAGCCATTGGTTAATGGTGCCCCTCAAACCTTTGGAAGACCCCATTGTTATTCCTTATATGTTATGTAAAGCAAAGAGTACTTTCAGTTAAATGTTTCAGGATTCTTAAGCATGCTATTGGAAGTAAAACTAGCCTGACTTAGCTGTTATGACCCCTGCACAGTAAAGACTCTATTTGTTGTATGTCTGTGTATGTGTAAACATCCACTAAACTCCCATATACACAGTAGGAAAAAAAAGAGGAAGAGAGGGAAATATACATGGTTGATGCACATTACCTCTGTTCTATTTCTTATGTATTTTGAAATAGACCACTGGAAATAGTCTGTACAATTTATCTCTTCTTTATTGCAGAGATGTAGGGTCATTTAGCTGCTGGAAATTCTTTCCTAATTTGGCAGCTGGGTTTTAAAATAAGAGAGTACAATCTGCTGTTGTAGGATAGACAATGTCCATATATGCAGAATTAATGCCATCATGAGGCATTTCAGCAGAAAGCCTTGTTCTCTTCTAATGTTTAGGAAATCCTGAAATTTTGTACTTGAATAAGGATAGGAAGTAAAGGATCTCCCTTGATCTGTATCTCCATTCTCTAGCTTCACTTCTCACTCTCAACTACGGAATGAGAATAACAAACCAGCAGACGTAAATTAATCGAGCTTCATTCCCGTCTCTTGGAATATGCCAGTTCACATTTGTTGAAGCATGATTTCCTTTTATTATTAATAAAACCGTAAAGGCCCTTGAAACACTTTAAAAAGATGGCTTCTGGGTGTGGGCTTGGGTAACGCATTTTGAAAAGAGCAAGAACCATTTGTTTCTAGAGGCTTCCATTTTTGTTTCCCATTTTCTCAGTGAATTTTTCTTTCTTTTAATCTTTTAATTCCCTCGCTCTGACACTGCAGTCTTTTCTTTCTTTTACTTAGAAATATGAAGAAATGGGCAGGTCAAAGTTGAGATCATTTGTGGGGCTTAGCCACATTGTAAGTCCCAGCACAGCCCTTTCATCTTTCATGAACACAGACTGGGTATTGTGTGAAGTTCTTGAACTGTAAGTGACTTTAAATTCACTCTGGTGGACAAGGGTGAGAAGAAGTCATTTAACTTTTAATAGACTTTCAAGGCCGAGTGAGCAGCTGGTTGAGATAGAATATGGAATGACCCTTTCCATTTCCCCAAACTTAGAATTCAATCCTTGAGGTTTTGAATAACGTGGTTAACTTTTACCTCCTCCAGTTTCCATTTCTCTGTATTTTCTCAGTTTACATGGAAAGGGTTGTGTATGAAAAAGACTGAAGAGAGGTTTTTCTGTTTCTTGCTGCACAAAATATTGGGAAAAGAAAAAAAAAAGTGGAACTTTCTGAGATATCCTGCCAGATTTCCAGAATGGGAACAATTGTTTCTGCTTTATATGACTGATATGAAATTGAATAGAAGGAGGCTTATGTAAATAATTGTAGGTCTACTGAAATTGGTGAGACCATACCAAAGCAATGCATCTGAGGACCTGGTTCTGTTGTAAGGCGACTTTACATGGTATCTTATACTACAGTTCTCCCAAATTTTACACACCGGACTTGATGAAATGGGTTTGAGGTGATTTTGACTGGAACTCTTAGTCGGTATTCTTTTCTTGTTTTTTTGTTTTTTTGTTTGTTTTTTTTTTGTGTGTGTGTGTGTGTGCTTTTTTTTCCCCATGGACTAGCAATTCTGCTAATCTGCTTTTGTCAATGCTTTTGAGGAGCTGGATGAGTACTTGCATCCAGGTTCTAGCTCCCTGGATTGCAAAACACACAAAAAAATAATTTTCAGAACATATATGCATCTCTCTCTTGTTTCTCTTAGTGTCAGACTTGAAAAGACAGATACTATCCGTTGCATTAAATCTTGTCGACCAAATGATGTCAACTGTGTGCTGGATCCAGTCCACACAATTTCCCACACTGTCATTTCACTACCCACATTCAGAGAATTTACAAGACCTGAAGGTAAGCGGTTTGTTCCTTGCTCCATTTAATAGACTACAGCGTATAAAACCTCCACCGGAAATCCTTGCCTAAAGCCAGACTAACTACCAGTGCAGTAAAATGTTTGCACAGTTCAAAATTATAGTGTACTATTCATTTAATTAAAACCTTCAATATCCAGGAGTTTTAATTTTATGGGGCAAAAAAGCAAATCTGAGCTCTAACTCATACGACATATCAGTCTAAGGAAATACTGAGCCTGAAGTCTAATTTACCACATTTACTCACATAATAGCAGTGTGCCCCATTGCTTTTTCTTCCTTCTTGCAGATTTTACTGTAGGAAGTAGGTACTCCTTATACTTTTCTCATCTGTTTACAGTCTGTTGCAAGCTATTGGCAAGTGTCTTGTTCCAAGGATATGACCTTTGTCTCCATGTAGGTCCTAAATCAGAAAATGTAGTATGCATTTATACATCAAGAACTGTGATTTGCTGGCTTTTGACCTCTGAAAAATTAGTGTACATTTTCTAGATATAAAATGAAGGGAAAATTCTATAAAATAAAGGAAGGGAAGGATTGGCCAGAAAGCTTTCTAAGCTAAGATTTTCAAAAAACATCCCAGTGAACAAAAAGAGTTTTCCATCCCCATGTGATGCACTTTAGTGGGTATTTCTTTGATTCCTTCATTTTCCATGGTACCTGAAAGCCTTTATGTCCTGTAGTTCCAGAAGGATTACACTCACTTTGCTTAATTCACATATAAAGAATCAGTCTTTTGCTACTTGCCATTTGTATTCACTTTGAGGCAGCTTTATATGCATCAAGAGGTGGAATGACTGCCTTCATCTCGGCTTCTTTATAGGATGAACCACTCGTCAATTTACTGTGTGATGAAGACACAGGGAGAAAAGAAAGGGAGGGAGAATAGGAAGATCATTCTTAAATTTCTATTTCTTATCCACCCATAGTCTCAACTTTGATTCTTCAGGAAACTGTCCTAAATCAAAGCCAAGGCTGATTCTTCATGTCTCTATCAGTCACTCTCAGTCCCTTCCAGGTAGGGACTGAGTAGGGCAAGAGACATCCCAATCCCTGTTCAATTTAGACACCAATAACTTTGATGCAGAGGTCTGCTCTAAAGAGTACTGTGCATGCTGCCTGCCTTAGCTGGCCCCACTTTGCAGAAAATGGAGGAATGCTCCATAGCCACCTTTATTACCATACACACTCCATCTGTTTTACCAGGTGTACAGGCAGCAGAGCTAAGGATTTAGCCCAGGACTCTTCCCAAGCAGTTTGCTCAGTAGTCATCATGATTTAATAACAAGATATAAGACTTAGCAATCTGAGAGTAATACCAGAGCCCAGAAGACAATCCTGAGCCGTAATTCACTGCATGGCCTTAGGTGAATTATTACAGATCCATGCTTTGGTTTTATCTTCTGTAGAGCAAGGATAATAATGTGAATAATAAAATTTATCTCCCTCACGTAAGGCTTGAAAAATAGTTTATTTATTTATTTATTTATTTGGACCTAAATTCCTCCTCCAATTCTTAAAAAGACTCTACAGTTTGTAATACTGATACCTTGTGTAACTGCCTAAGATAATGAGAGTTCGAAGGTCTACCTGTTTGGTCCCTCTTCTCCCCACCCTGTGGATCCTTAGCACTGTCCTTTTTATGTACATGCCAGAGGTCTGATGCACTTCTAAGAGTGATCTTTCTGGACTCTAAAGTAAAAGTGTTTTGGCTTCAGGGCTTTTTGGATGATACAGGGGGAGAAAATAAATCCATCTGAATGTTCTCATCCCCACAGAAATTCTTTCTTTCCATTTTAAAAGACAAATGAGAAGGAAAGAGAAAGAGATATTAGTCTTCCACTGGCTTTGAGAATAAGTCATTTTGTATCAAATGCTGTTGGGTTTCTCAGTGATATTTTCATTACTTCTCAGTATATTCTGTGATACCTTTTATTTGCAGAGATTATTTTTCTTCGTGCCATTACACCTACATATCCGGCCAACCAGGCAGATATCATATTTGACATAACAGAAGGAAATTTAAGAGAATCCTTTGATATCATCAAGCGTTACATGGATGGTATGACAGTGGGTGAGTAGTCATTTCTACGTACAATACAGTTTCATATTTCAGTAATATTGTAGAACAATGTCAGAGATTTGAGTAATTCCTTCACACCTTGATTCTCAAGGCTCCACTGGTTTAATGTTCTCTTTCTCCAGTCCAGTCTGACTGATTTGTACTCATATAACCTTTAAAAAAAAAAAAAAAAAAAAAATGTTCTTAACATAATTGGCCTAAACCATAATTTCAGAAGCATTTTAGATTTTTATTTTTTTTTTTCAGAATTAACTGCAAATGCAAATGACTTAGCTTTAAAATTATGGGATTTGGCTATTATCAGCAACCCAAATGTAAAGCGGATAGTCTGTCAGCAGAGAGACTGTAAATTTAATTAACTCTTCTTTCTTGTTTAAACAGCATAGCATCAAGGTTTTTTTGGATAATAATTAAATTTTTATTTCCAGAATAAATTTTCTGAATCTGTTCCCTATTTTAATGTTAAATAACAGGCTAGTTCAAGTGTAAATTAATATCACTTTCTGTTGAAGGTAAAAGGGATCTGTCAAATGCCGTGCTTTACAATAAATTTGAAAACCAGAATGAATCATAGACATTTGATTTCCAGCCTCATTTTGGCAGAGGGGAGGTTTACCGGTGTGTGTGTAGTCATGTACTAGACCTGCAACTCATCACATAGGAGAGAGAGGCTGCGGGACAACGTGGGATTGCATATTATGAAAGGTTTCTTCCAGAGCAGAGCTCCTTGGGATGAGAGAATGAATATACGAGGGCTGCTCTGAAGGTAATGCCTCCAGTTTTATTATGTTGGCCCACAATGTCAGAAGCAGATGTTGGAGGCATGGCAACAAGGGTTGAACATTTCCACCATTATTCCGTTACATTTTGTTGCCATACAACAGATGGCAGCAGAGGGGCAGTCCGGAAAAATGGCGTCTGATGTGGAAGGTGTCATTGAATTCCACCATGTGGAAAAAATGGGACCTGTTGGTTCATTAACACTTGCTGAACATTTGTGGAGACCAAACAGTGGATGTGAGCACAGTGAGGCGGTGGGTGGTGCATTTCAGCAGTAGTGACTGGTACAGTGGGTCACCTCCACGGGTGCAGATTTTTACAAGTGCAGCATGCAGGCTCTTGTTCACTGCTGGCAAAAAAATGCATAATTAATGGTGGTGACTGCACTGAAAAATAGTGTTTTGCAGTTGAGAATTTGTTCTATCAAATGCTGCTACCGTGCTCTTTGTATTTGCTGTAGCTTCCGTGGAAATAAACAGGAGGCATCAATTTTGGAGCAATCTAGGTAGCAGGTGTGCTTTATTAAAAAGTGATATTTGATTGCACTATATTAATGCTTATTTATGAAAATAAAGGATGACAGTTCCCAGTGAACATTTGTGCTTCAGCATGTGAATGTGCAAGTTTTGCTCAGCTTTAGACACATGCTTCTAGGCATGCTAGCAGTATTTGTCTGGATGGACACAAAAATCATTGTTCTTCCACAAATTTTGTGATAAGCCATATTCAGTATGATCTGAAGGTGGCACTGTTGCATTTCAGAAGCATGATAGTACAGTGTCAGCTGTACAAAGGTATTACGAACTGTAGATAAAACAAGTCATTAGGTTTATATTTCTTTCTTTATCAAACAGAGGTATACATGTGAATGCTGAGAAAGAGGGAGAGTCTGTTAAAGCAGGACGATAAGATTACAGATTTCAAGAACTGGGTTGATTCTTTAAAACAGTATAAATGTTATCAGATCCCGCAGTAGTTACAGTAGTTTGCTTTTTGTGCTATGTGCTTCTTTCTGTCTGAAATAAGAAAGAAGGATGTGTTTAGAAACTTGACTGGCTAAGGCATTTGCCTGAGGGAAATGTTTCCATTTTGAATAATAGGACTGCATGTCAATGGTATTTTACTTGGTAAACTGGATATATGCCTCACAATGAGAGATATTCCCTGTTGAAAGGATATGATATATGCCCAAATACAGCTCTACGGAAGAATTGGGCAACAGTTTCATCACCTCAGTTCCCCCATGTGCAAAATGGAGATGATATAACATGCCTACTGTCTTAATTAATTCTTGTATGTAAGAATCTTAATTAATTCCTCTATGTAAAAGTACTTCAAGATTAATGGATGGAAGCTGCAAAGTAAACTGCCTGCAGCAGAAAAGAAAAATTAAGCCCTGCCCATGGAGGCTCAGGACAGCATGTTGTCTGGTGGAAATAGGATTGCAAATAATTGTGCCATCAGCAGTTCTGCTGTTCCCATCATAATATCACTTTTCTTGTTAATAAGAATCAGAATGTAGAAGTCTGCTAGATAAATAAATAAGACTGCATCCTAGTCTACAGGAATTAACTATGCTAACTCCCTTTTTAGAAAAGGGGGAAGATTTTGCGTAATGATGGAATAAGAGGAAAGATGTAGGTGATATCAGAAAGATTTATTGGTTATCCCATTAAATTAAAAGAATGTAAAAACTATGGGAATGTAAAATACGGAATTTAGCAGAGCAAATGCCAAACTAGCTGTGTATCCAGCGTCCAGTGTTATAACAGATGAGTATTGAGAAATTTTTCTCCAAAAATAATGACTCAACTATTCTAATCATCAGTTCATATGCTTCTGATTTCTGGGAAAGCATATCTGAACTTCTTAATGACCACTAATGGACAATCTGTTCAGGTTCTTTTAAAACTTTTCTTTGCTTCTTAAAATACGGAGGAAAGAATGCATGTACCCTGATAATGTGTTATAGATGCATGGGTAAAAATACTAAGGTTCATCTTTCATTCTGTTGTAATGTTTCAGGAGAAATTATCAGAATATCAAAGCTATTTTATCTTATAATGGAAAGTAGGTCGCCATTAGATCACCATTTTCTACAAGAGTAAGCATAGAAAACCTCTGCAGGAGTAGCTGCATTTAAGCCGTGTTTGTGTTAATGGAAACGAACAATATGGTCTTGTAAGTGTAACATTAAAAAATGAAAACATGCAGCTTTCTTTTGGAAAAATGCTTAGAGAGAGGGAGGGTCTGTGAAAGATGGATTTTCAGAAGGAAAGCGAGGACGTAGGCATTGACAGAAAATTATGGCCTGAAGAGAGTCAGATCATCAGTTTTAGTCATTATCCCATTAAGTTGACACTGAGCCATCAAAGAGAAGATGTAAAGAAGCTGAGAAATATGTAGGATTGGATGGAGAATGACCGATCAGTCTAGTTTGTGATTTGCTGATGAAGAGATGGGAGCTGAGGTCATAGGAGGAGTGTAGGAGCAGGTTGTGAGGAAGGAAAAAGAGCACTGGAAACAAAGGAAGGATTTAGGTTAGAAGAATAAAGTACAAGCTTTCCCGAAATAGCTGTAGGAGGAGCCACCACCAAGATAGGAGATGAAGGAGACAAGGACACTATTGCAAAGTGAAAGAAAGAAAATATATCAAACGGGAATCAATGACCAGCAGCAGCAGAGGAGCCAAAAGAAGTAAGCACTGACTGCAACAACTAGCTATTCTGCCCTAGAGAAAGTATCTTCCAATGGAACAAAAAGTATCTTCCAATGGAACAGAGGGAACAAAAGCCAGCCTGCTGGGGTGGCAGTACATAGACTTCATGAAATCTGAGAAAAAAAAAAAAGAGAAAAAAAAAAGAATTGTGCTCACAGTTACTTCCAATATTTCTACCCAATTGTATTAGAATGCCAGACTCCTTTCTTTCCTTGTACCAAAAGTGCTAAGCTCTCTGTTGCCTGGTGTCGTTACAGGCCAAGGGGCCACTGAATCCAAAAGATTCAACTTGAAGTTAACAACTGCACATCATTTGTTAGCATGGGTGGAAAAAAAGAAGCTCAGACCTATCCAGTTTTGTTGTTTTTTTTTAAAGCTTTTATAGACTTCTCACTGCATTCCTCCTTTAACCAGCTGTCAGTGAAAAATGAAGAATGCATTTTCAACCTGTACAAAAATGTCCTATTAAGGCCTAAGGTATTATCAGATACTATAAAACATTTTTGCCCACAGCTATGCATTCATTTCCTTAGGTGACTGTAATACCACCTTGTAGTCTGGTAAACATCAGGAAAGTTTTAAAACTTCTTAATACAACTAAAAGTACTGTTGGCAGGATGAAATCTTCCCCACCACATTTGATGGCAACATAAGCCTATATTTTTTTGCTTGTTAAGCAGAATGATACTATTCTTAGCACAATCCAGAGCCAATACAATTAGGAGAGCTTCCCAGGGGTGTTGTGCTGGTGCTTGAATGTGCTGATATCATCAGTTGCTTATAATTTTACAGATATGCACTACTACTCTCCATAGTGATTGGTATATACATGCATTCATATTTTTGAAATGGTATTGTTACTGGAGGTATCATTTATATTGTGCTACTGAACGTGTTTTTCAGCTTGCAGTGAGATCTAGGATTTGTTCTATGGTTTACTTAAAACAATTATTTGAGGAAGTTTAATTTATCATCGTTCCTGTCATTTATATTCTTCTCTGCCACCAAATAGCAAAAGACAATGATGTCAGTTACATTTGCAAGGGTTCCACTGCCGAACTCTGTCCCCTTTCCAGGCTCTTCATCATGTGCGATAGCTCATGATGTGTGATGTGACTGTTGAACCATTACAGAGAGTGTCTTAACTACTGGTGTTGCAACACTGGATTTATTGGTAGTCTAATTTTCACTATAATACCACGATCCTTTAGTATATTCCAGAGTCTGGACAGAAACGTTTTAAAAATGAGTCAAAGGTAAACCAAAAATAGATGGCAAATGTTATTGTGCTTGCAGGATCCCATACTGGTTGGATGTGGAAGTAGGAAACTGAACACTTTTTTTCCTTTTGGGCAAACCTGCCCTTAGCACGAAGACACTTCAGTATCTCACAAGCAATTTGTCTATTCCCAGTTACAGCAAAGTGTTTTCACAGTCAGCATGTGCGTGTTTGTGTGGCCTGTTAAATTCAGTCGTTGGGCTACTAAACATG